CCCCCCCCGGAAGGTAACACTTGCACAAGGCCAGGCTTCCCAGATAAATCCAAGATAGAAAAATGGAAATTCAGGCCTCAACTACCCCCTATGTCAGACACTACTTCCTTGAGGCTGCGCAGGACTCTCGCTTCTCCTTTCTGCTAGCCTTCCTGACCTTTCACTACCCACGGCCACTCCCTCACCATGGACAAGGATACCTCAGAGATCTGTGGCCAGGCTCCAACAAGGAAGAAATTAGTTTACCCAACACCTCCCAGAGGATCCATTTGAAACCAGCCTAGATCTGTGGCAGAGCACCAGAAAGCACCAAGTTGAACAAGAAGGCCTGCGGTGCCCTCCTCAGGTGGCAGTGAGGCTTCCCAACCCGTTTCAGCCAGACACATACTCAAAAACAAGCTATTCCAGACAAACTCAATTCCTGCCCTTAGAATCCCAAGTGATGACTGAATACACATATCATCATTTCTCCTCCATGACAGACTATCCTGGCCCTTGGGGGACTTCTCTTGGCCTGAAGCCAGGCCTAGGAGCAAAGATATGCCCTTTGTCGCTGACCTCTGGGAATCAAGTGTTCCAAAGGAGGCAGACTTCCATAGTTCCATTCTGTTTCTGGGAGTCCAAGAATACCCTACCCTCTGGGACCTCCTACATCCTGGGACAGAGCAGAGATCCTCTGAGGACTCATACCCCACCCCCAAGCCGACTGGTCCAAGCCTCTACACAGAAGTCAAGTCTGGGGAGGGGTGATGTGCAGGGAGGGGTGATGTGCAGGAAAGGCCGAGATACTGATACTGTCCAACTAGGAAAAGAAGGGGACAATTCCCTGAACCTACCTCAGGGGAGACAGATAGAGCATCCCCTGTGAGACTGATTTCCTGACTGATCTACCAGGCTAGGATATTATCATAGATGAATTGGCCTGGCAGGGTGTGAGTAAATATGAGTCAACTCACATAGGAGCAAACCAATGACTACATCAAACACCTTCGCAGTCACAATAATTACCACTTATCTACTGCCTACTACACACAGACGCTATCTAGTTTAATGGAATTTTTGAAATAACTATTCATTGGACCCCTTTCACAGGCTTGGGGAGGTTATATTACTCGTCCAAGGTCACACAGCTGGGAAGCTGCAGAGTGGGGTTTTGAACTCAGGTCTCTCTCCTTTCAGAGCTGTGATCTTCCCACTACCACAAACCATCTGCCTTAAGAGAAGTGATGACAGTAGATGGCAGAAAGGCCTTAGTGCAGCCTTGGCCTAGGTGGTCCGGGGTAACTAAGAGACTGTGCGTGTGCTTCTCTGTAAACTCTCTCCTGCCCATCAGGCATCCCTGTCTGGACCCTTACCAGGAATGATTCTGAAAGGGGAGGTGGGAGTGGGGATGGATTTCTGAGCCCAGGTCACTTGGGGGCCTCACATCACGAGGACCCCTGGCCCCAGCATCCTTTCTCCGACCCGCGCTGTCCCAGCCACCCCATTTCCCCACATCTCGAGCTGCCCTGAGCCCATGACTCCCCCTCCGGCTACCCTAGTTTCTCATCCCCGGCCATTCTGTCAGGGACCACCGGCCCGCGGCCTTACCGCGGGTGGGCGGATCTTGCAAATGCCGGACTTCTCCGCGATGGGCCTGATTTTCGCGATGTAGCCAAGAGGGTCTCGGAACTCGGCCCAGCTAGGTTCGAACACCGGGCACTCCGGCGGCGGCAGAAAGTCGTCAGACCCCGGCTCCATGGTGGACCCTAGAACTGGAGGGCTCGGACAGCCCTTAAGGGCTCATGGCGGATGCCGCTGTATGAAACCGAGGCACAGCTCGGAGACTAGGCCCTAAGCGGGGCGGCCGCCGCCCGCCGGGGGCCAAGGGGGCGTGTTGAGTGCCGAGCTCTGAGAGGCAAAGGCTGACCCTAATGCTGCCGCCTCTTAATCCTGCTCCGTTCCTTCCAAACTCTGCCGCTGCCTCCCAACTCCCGCAGCCTTCACCACCACAGTTACCTCCCAACCGCCGCGGCCTTCACCGCCGCCGCCGCCATCTTGGTTTGTCAGCGTCCTCCCACCCCCCTCCCACACCACAACAAACCGGATCCCTCCGCGGGGTGTTCCTCCGAGCCTTGTATATCTTATGTGAGCCCAAGCCCTAGGAAGCCTTCACTCAGTGAGGATCGAGCAGAATCGGAAGGCGTGGGTTCCCTATTTGGAAGCGGGAACTCAAAAGTAGCTCTCAGACTGAGATCAAATAGTTCTGCTCAGTGGCGGAGGAGCAAAATTGTAATTAAAATGCCGGATCCTTTTTCCGGATGGACCAGCGGTGCACGTTTAAAGGCCAGTGGTGCGCATGCGCATTATGAAGACAGACCGGAAGAGGAGCAGGGGTTGGTGGGCGGTAGGCCGAAACTGGCAGCCCCCCCCCCATGACCTCAGCCCTGGTGGGAGCCCCGCCCCAACATTCTCTCCTCCTGGGTCTTTCGGTTGTGGGCCTTTGCGACCGACCCGTCTTGCTAGCCCGCAGGTTTGGGGGAGGTGTAAGGAGCTCCCAGCTCTACGCGTTGACACCCTTGGTGCTTTGAAGGAAGACAGGCAGGAGGCTTCTCAGGGGGTTATGGATTTTTAGAATCTTCAGACCCAATGAAAGGAAGAAATATTTATTTCATCCAAGGTTATGCGTAGAGGCCTCACAAAGGGCTTCCATTCTTAACCCCAAAGAGTCATTGTCGATTAGCATTTTAATACACACTTTCAACTGTTCTGTATGCACTTTTATTGTGTGCACATTTGTGGCAGGTACTCCTACAAAATAAGCTTAAGTGTATATATTTTAACTATTGGATGTTTAGCAGCAGCATACTTATCACCTATTAGTCCCTCTCATATGAAACACTGCACATTTGTGAGCCTACAGTGAACTTACCAAACATCTGTGTACATGGATTGTACTGTGTATAGCCCCTGCCTTATGCATTTGAGTACCTACTGTGTGTACATCTACTACTCGTGTACATGTTCATTGAGCAGTTGCTGAATAGGTTTATCGAAACTACTTCAAATGAGTATCAAACCAGTACTTTACCCAGACAGGTATCTACTGCATTTAAGGATCATCTTTATTATTCAACAGTTGTGTGCCTACTGCATACAGTTTCAACATCTGTTGTGCACATAATAGAGTACTTGTATAAGTGCTGATTAAGTACTTATTTTTTGTGTCCCCTCCC